TCATTTGTATTAATGTATTATGCATGCCATATACCACCTATAAAATGAATTATATAATATTTACAGTGTTAATAGAGGAAATGGTTTCTAATGGCAGAAACCAAACCTCCTTTAGTCAGGGAGAGTGTAGTTATGACACTAAAAGGACGATGAGCAATAACACTCTGTGGTGTCTATTAGAACTTCCCAGAAAGTTATTAAAACTTGAGTTAAATCACCAGGCTTGAAGCTGTAAAGAATAGATAAAATGGTAACACTTTAGTTTAGGGACCATTTCTCACTATTAACTAGATGCTCATTAGCATGCATAATACTAGCATACAGTATTGGCTGTTTATTAGTACTTGTAAAGCACATATAATGCCTCGTACATCATGATTCTGCAGATCCCTTAATCCTACTCTAAACTTAACAACTACCTTACTAACTATTAATAAGCAGCACATTAGGAGTTAATTGAAGCAAAAGTCGTAGTTAATAGTTAATAATGAGAACTGGTCCCCAAACTAATGTGTGACTGATAAAAGTCTTACTGTTTACACTTTTGTTTAGCTATTATAACACTTTACATTTGTCAATGCCATAAAACCTACCTGGTCTCATGGCAAAAACATACCTGGGGGCACTTTTTCGCGAGACACGAACTACGTACCAATAAATATATATAACTGCAGTTTCCAAAAGAAATGAACACTAGAGGCAGTAAAACTCCGACACCTTTTATTCCTTTTCACACAAATTTATAGAGTTTCGATTAATGAAGCATAATTTTCACACAATTACTTGGAGAATATTATGTTATGACTTCAAAACAATTTTAATATGCTGGGAGATATGAAAACTGATGCTTTTGAATGTTAGCATAGCACATATCCAGCTTCATATCTATGGGTTTTCATAGATGGTACGTTTGTTCGGTAGCTCACGGAGTACGGAGACGTACTTGAGAGGTGAGGAGCTCCGGTTCAAATCCTGTGTAACTACGGTTCGACAAAACAGTTGAAATCTGCATATAAGGAAGTTCAAATGGCACGGTTGCATCAACAAATGCATTTTTATGTGAGTTTTGCATTTGTTAACACTATCGGGTAGGTTTAGGGTTGGGTTTGGTGTAGGGCATATTTCCAACATGATAGAGCATTAACTTCTAGCAACAGTCCCCGGATATTGGAATTCTGAACCGCCGCAATACGTACCTGAAGCAACGTAATAAAAACACAGCAGTACGTACCTATATCAACGTAATAAATACGTGCCAGTGTTCACATATTGAACCCGTGTTTTACCGCCACTCATTGGACATTTCTCTTTGAAACTGCGGCTAAACGTGCAGTAAGGTATGTAAAAACGGTGTTGCAGAAAAGTACCCAGAGGTATGTATTTTTATGAGACCAGGTTGCATAAAACCTATGTTTACTTTCTTAATGAACAATATCCATTTTTTTCAGTAGCAAATACAGTTTTTAGGTCACACTTTATTTTAAAGGGTTAGTTCACCCAAAAATGTGGATAGGCCTACTCTCCAAAATGGCGCCAGGGTGGAGGAGGCGAATTGTTGAATAAAGTCGTTTGTTTTTTTTTTTCTTTTGCGCACATAAAGTATTTTCATAGCTTCGTAAAATTACGCTTGAACCACTGATGTCACATGGATTATTTTACCGATCTCCTTTCTATGTTTCTGGATCTTGATCGTGTAAGGATCATTGCTGTTTATGGGAGGGTCAGAGTGCTCACGGAATGCATCAAAAATATCTTAATTTGTGTTCCGAAGATGAATGGAGGTCTTACAGGTTTGGAGCAACATGAGGGTGAGTAATTAATGACAGAATTTTCATTTTTGGGTGAACTATCCTTTTAAGGTCCAATTCTCGCTATTAACAAGCAATTAACCTTTTGCCTCAATAAACTCCTAATTTGCTGCTTATTCATAATTAGTAAGGTAGTTGTTAAATTTAGGGATTGGGTAGGATTAGGGATGTAGAATATGGTCATGCATAATATGTGCTTTATTAGTATAAAAACATAATAAAACAATAAAAGTGTTACCAGTTTTTTAGTACTTGAATACTATATTATCATTACTTATGACGAACTATTGCCTGTATATGTGATTCAGTTCATGGAACAAGGAAAGGAAGAAAGTTCATTTGTCTCTCCTCATTTGTCCCTCATTGTTCACAGGTGTTCCTTAACTTTGTATTTTTATGTCCCTTGTGTATTTTTACCCTTGTGTTTCCTGTGTCAGTGGTTGGTTCTCATGTTGATGTATGTCTATGTTGTTGGTTTCCTCAGTTCTACTCTAGTGTTTCCTGGTTTCTGCTCCTTGTACTTGGATTATTGTTTGTCTGATTGTTTGTGTTCTCACTTAGCAAATATCTGGATGACTTTTTTTCTGCTTGTACATTATCATAATTTGTTAAACTTTCAGTATAATATCTTGCATGAATATCACTGCATTTCTGAGTGTTATACAGCATATATATTCCTCTCTGAAATACTGGGTACTCTTAAAATTTTGAACTGCTTTTGCATCTTCAGGTTGCATTTTGGTTTTGTTTGCTGATTGCTTACCACTTACAGTAACAGTATAAGTGGTTACATCTGCATTACAGAATGATGACTAATTCAGATTTTTTTTTCTTTCAAATCATTATCTGACAAAACCACTCTTCCCTTTAAGTGATGTTTCTGGAGTTAATTCAGATTATAAAAGAACCATGAAGAGCTCCATCATCTACATATGAAAAACATCTTCAGTCCTGTAAGTGGATTCACAGTCTTATTCCAGGTAAGATCATATCATTTCATGCATGAATTGTTTTGTCTATATTTTAAACTGTCATTGTGTTTCAACCTCTAGTGTCACTGTGGATCTTTTAACAATAAAAGTTAAAAAAATTTTGCAACTGTCTGAAGTGTCCAAAAACACAAATACATAAAATGTACAGTATTTATTATGTAAATACATACATAAAATGTAATTTCTTATGTTATTTTTGGTTTGTTTTATGTTTATGTAGGTTCTTGTCTGACAAAACCATTCTGATTTTTTTAGGTGATAAAAATATCATAATCATAGTCAGCTCAACACCATCATATACTCGTGAGCAAAGTCTTCAGTCCTGTAAGTGCAGGGATGGGCAAAGATACATCAAAATGTATTTTAAAATAAAATACCAAATACCTTAATTTTAAGTGTATCAAAATAAACTACAAAATACAGCAGCCACACCAAGTATCAAAATAAACTACTGTATTTTTGATTTGACAAGCTAGTTGATAAAAAACAACAACCGATTAACTATAAAAACTGATTGGCTAACGCTATTTTTCCCCTTATCAGTGCTCTTTTATTCTTTCATGTTAACTGACGGCAAATCTGAATGATGCACTATTTAACTTTAATCAACATGTACAATTGACCATGACATCCTCACCTTATCTTATTCCAGAAAAGTCACTCACCCAATGCAGAATGGACTAAATCAGCACCCTGATAAAGAGGTTGACTGGCACAAAGTATTTTATGTATTTTGAAAATACAAAAATACTAATCTTAAATGTATTTAAATACAAATTACATTTGATTTTTGCCGAAGGCTTTCAAATACAAAATACAAAATAGTATTTTGTATTTCAAATACGTATTTTAAATACATGTATCTGAAATACTGCCCATCCCTGTGTAAGTGGATACACAGTCTGATTCCAGGTAAGAGCATGCCATCTTATGCATGTTCGTATCTTTGTTCTTTAATCACTGTGAATGTCCTTTACGGATACTCTATTCAAACCTGGTAAGAGATTTTTAAAGTTTATTGAAGTTCTTTTGATTAAATTTTGAAAATGTATTTTCTGTACAATAGAGCACAAAATGGAATTATGTCTTGGGTTACTTGACTGTAACCCTGTTCCCTGAAAGAGCTGGAATGAGATGCTGCGTTTCATTAATGCTGACAAGTACATTCTTTGTTCGAATGGTTGTGAAGCATTTGTGGCAAACCCACCAAGAATTTGGCTTAAATAACCTGCGTCGATTATGTTATTATAATGCATGGACGTGAGAGGTTATAAATAGACGTGAAATGGACACACCTTCAAGTTATACTTTTGTCTGAAGAGATGTCCAGGCACACCTACAGTGTAGCAATGAGGAGCAGCATCTCGTTCCTGCTTTTTCAGAGAGCAAGTTTAGAGTCAAGAAACCTGAGACGTTCCATATCAAAAGCTACACCCGTTGCTGCATTTCATTAACATTGATGGGAACGAGAATACACCACCGCACTGGAAAGTATCTGAACTAGAGCCCTACACGGGCCTCGAATTTAGGCCCTAGCCCGGCCCTGGCCCGAGACGCTCAGGCCCTAGCCCGGCCCGTGTCCGACAGCTTATCAGAATTACTGGCCCGAGCCCGACCCAAGCCCCTCTTTTTTCCCCCCTTCTCCCAAAACAGCTTATACTACTGTTTCAGCTATTAAAATAGTTCAGTTTTGTATGTAAAAGTGATAATATTTCGTTTCGTTTTTTTCATTAAGTTAATTTAGAAAAACGTTTGGATCATTTTTTTTTGTTCGTTAAATGTAAGTTTTTGTTTTTTAAAGTAACGACCAATCGGCCAGCGGCAGACAGTGAGCTGATAACCTATGTTTGATAAATTTAGCCTTCTCAAATCATCACGACTTGCATAAAATAAAATCTATAGATATAAAACAGTTCAAGCATATCACAATGTTAGTTTAAATGTTTAGCTTATATAAAAGTGCGCTATTATACGCATATCTAATTGTTTGTGCGGAGAGCTAAAGCACGCTTTACAGGACATGGAGGCGCCGGCACGATCACTTGCATTGGAAACAACTTAAAATATGCCATAATTTTTGCTCATAAACGAAAGAGTAATACATCACTCGGAACTGTAAAGGGTCTACTTTTATTTTATTTGAGTGCACTCACAATATCAACAAAACGTTGTGCTTTTATAAAATAAAGGATACATACAGGAAGACGTCAAGACGATCGAGGCGGATACAGACTGCTCGCTGTTATCCTCAAAAACCTCACCAAGGTATGTCACACCGTGTGATCAAACTGTTCTACTAATAAATTAATTTCTTATTATGTTGTGTACTCGATAACTTAAAGGTTTGGTGTTTTTATTGCTCCTTAGATCTGTGTTGGACTGTAATGTTGGCGAACACTTAGGCCTGTGTTATCAGAGGACTTGCTAACATGAAGAAAACGGTCCAGAGGTCTGTAATTATACGTAATGAATGGATTTTAACTTAATTTAAACTTTAGTCATTTTAACTGCTTCTATTCATTTTAATTGTTTAAGATTGCTGCGTGATAATTAGTGTGATGAGCTAGCAATGTTAATGTTTAAGTGCTAACCCTTAAGGCTGCATGCATTTATTTGATCAAAAATAAAGTTAAAAAAGTAATATTGTGAAATATTATTACAATGTGAAATAACTATTTTCTATTTGAATATATTTTAAAATGTAGTTTATTCCTGTGAATTTTCAGCATCATTACTGCAGTCTTCAGTGCATGATCCTTCGGAAATCATTCTAACATGCTGATTTAGTGCCGCATTTTTATTGGTACTCAGTTATCAATAATGGTTCTTATTATTATCGTAAAAAAAAAACAGTTTTTGCTGCTTAATATTTCCTGGAAACATTTTTATGATTCTTTGATTAATAGAAAGTTCAAAAGAACATAATTTATTTTAAATATATATCTTGTTTTTGTAAAATGTATAAATATCTTTACTGTCACTTTTTATACACACACACACACACACACACACACATCAAACATTTGAATGGTTGTACATCATGGTTTCTGAATATATTAAATAGCATAACTTTTTTTCAATGTTGATAATAATCAGAATTTTTTCTTGAGCAGCAAATCAATCAGCTTATTGGAATGATTTCTGAAGGATCATGTGACACTGACGACTGGAGTAATGATGCTGAAAATTCTGCTTTGATTACAAGAATAAATTACATTTTACAATATATTCACAAAGAAAATAAATATTTTAACTGATAATAACTTCTAAATTGTAATTCAATTTATTTCTGTGATGGCAAAGCTGAATAAATAACTTTTCATTCATCAATAAATCCTGAAAAAAGTATCACAGGTTCCCAAAACAATTAAGCAGCACAACTTTTGTCCAACACTGAGCTTTGATCAAAGCAATAAATAATATTTTTAAGTATATTAAAATAGAAACCCATTATTTTAAATTTGAATGCTTCACAATATTACCGTTTTTTTCTGTATTTTTGATAATATAAATGCTGGTTTGATAAGCAAGAGACTTATTTTAAAAACATTAAAAATAGTAATGTGTCCAAACTTTTGAGCAGCCCAGTCCCCTTATTAAGCAGGCAGAATGCTTTAAGGTGCATCCTGAATGATAAAAACAGAGCGGGGCACTGAAGAGACAGACATGTATTACATTATATTGTTTGGTATGGTTTTTTATTTATAAAATCTTTGCCAAAAGATGCTTTTATTTCTGTTAACAGTATGCTCCATGTTAATTGAGTAAATTAATTGAGAAATTGTCCAGCAACACTATATAACAATTTGTTTCAATTTCAGGTTCCACCTGAGAGCCGGGACTGTCAAATAGTAAGGTGAGTCCCTTTTTTTTTTTTAAGTGTTCAGTGCAGGTTGAGTTATTCAAGCTATTTGAATGCCACAATGTATGAGTATTGATAATATTGAGTGTCTGATAATGTTACTAGTGCTGTTCAAAACTGTTTGTTAGGACCGACTGTGGCTTGCAGCTTTCTGGAGAAATGCTCCTTCAAATAACTTCACACTCAGCATCCTGAACAATATACCTGTTATGACAGTCATAATGCTATAGTCTGTGTGCCATTTGGGCACAAACTATTTTTTTTCATCTCAAGTCGGTGATTAAAGTAAGTGTGCAATGGAAAATTACAGGAAAATCAAAAATGTTTACCATGGATAACATTTATGATGTGGAAAAGCATATACAAGTGCATGCATAATTATTAGGTGAGTCAATATTCTGATCATATTTTTAAGCACTTTTACCAATTTCAAACCACATCAATCACTATTAATTTTGTTTACAATCATATATCTTATAATTATATAATCAATAAGAACTGGAAGTGAAAAATGCTCACTGATGCTCCGGAAGGAAACACAATGCATTAAGGGGGTGAAAACATTTGAACAGAATGAAGATGTGTACATTTTGCTTATTTTGCCTAAATATATTTTTTTCATTTAGTACTGCCCTTCAGAAGCTACAGAAGATACATACATGTTTCCCAGAAGACAAAATAAGTTACATTTACACTGATCTTCAAATTCTTCAAATGCATTGTGTTTCCTTCTGGAGCATCAGTGAATGTTTGAACCTTCTGTAATAGTTGCATATGAGTCCCTCAGTTGTCCTCAGTGTGAAAAGATGGATCTCAAAATCATACAGTCATTGTAGGAAAGGGTTCAAATACACAGACATGCTGAAAAAGCAACACGTGTGGGACCAGAAGTATTTTTCTAAAGGACAGCAGGCAGTTCAACTGCAGGACAAACAAGGGACTCATGAACAACTATCACTAAACAAAAAACAAAACAAAAACAAGCTGTGGATCATTCAGGTAACAACACAGTATTAACAATCAAGTGTATGTAAACTTTTGAACGGGGTCATTTTTATAAAGTCAACTATTATTTTCTCTTGTGGACAATATATTTTATGTGAAATATCTGATTCAGGCCAGTACTAAATAAAAAATAACATGCATTTTGTATGATCCCTCTTTTGGTAAAATAAGTAACATTTTGCAGATTCTGCAAGGTGTATGTAAACTTTTGATCGTATGTGTGTTTATATATACAGTATGTGTGTGTATGTGTATATGTACAGTATGTATGTATGTGTATATACAGGTGCATCTCAATAATTTAGAATGTCGTGGAAAAGTTCATTTATTTCAGTAATTCAACTCAAAGACTGGTTTAAAGGGTTAGTTCACCCAAAAATGAAAATGATGTAATTAATTAGTCACCCTCATGTCGTTCTAAACCCGTAAGACCTCCGTTCATCTTCGGAACACAAATACACGGATACGTTTTCTACGTTGTTTACTCTTTGATTTGAACGTACAGAAAGTATTCTCGTAGCTTCGTGAAATTACGGTTGAACCCCTGATGTCACATGGATTATTTTACCGATCTCCT